CCCCCCCAGGCAGTACACACGGGGATATTTATGGTGTGTCATGGTGTTTGGGGTTTGGGGTTTCACACACCATGACGCCGGTCTAGGACACACCAAGTATTTCCGGTATTTATGGCACCAGGCTGTGTAGCGGTCACCTGACACCTAGGCTCCACAGTCCGCTCCGGAGGAGGACACGCTGGATCGCTCGGGCGTGGGGCACTGGGGGGCCGACCGGTGTTTTTTTCCCATCCAAAATGAACAGAAGGGAGGTCAACCTGACATGATCAAGCTACCCTTGAACAGGGACTCCGGATGCCATGAGCTGGGTTTCAGCTGTCTCAGAGAATGTTGTCCAGGGCTCCAACTACCTCCGTTTCGAAGGTGATTGGGGCTGGGTGCAGCTGTAGCTCATGGATGCTCATGGTGGAACGTTTTCCCTGACTTCCCACACTGTGCTTGTGTTTGGTCTCGGTAGACGGTGACAGATTGTGACAGTGCTCTTCAGAGCAGCAACCTGTGACCCGCTCTTGGTTTCTTCATCGTTGAGATCCACAGACCTCCCTCCATCCTCCACCGGCGGCCGTTGGTGAACAGAGGTTCCATTTCCTAAATCACTTAAGCGATCCATGCCGTAGACCTGTTTGGAGCTCATTTAGAACTGATGAAGATATTGCAAGAGCCCACCTGCAAATCATCGCAGATCCCTTCTGCGCTATAGCCGCGGAAGAGGAACTTATAATATAGCATTCTTTTGTGGTGCTTTTAATGAGAATAAAACTGCTTTGAAGAGTGGATTTTCCAAAAGAAACATTGACATTCCCGGGCGTTTCACAGGAGGCAGAGCTCTTAGCACAAGAGTTTTATCGAGTCTCCAATCTCTACCAGGCGGCTTGTGTTCACAGAAAGGGCTCGTGGTGCCTTTTGGATGGGATGTCTATGCCGTGGGCTTCAGCCGTTGTTTTTTAAGGGTGGGGACCCCTGATAGGCCAAGGTTCATCTTAGTGCTCGACAAAGGAAAGAGTCCATTCGCTTCGTTTTTGGGATTTTCATGTCCAAATGCTGTGCTCGTTCAACGATGCTGGCGTCAGGTCCCTAATCAGAGCCGTTCGGATCAAGACCCTTTATCCTCTGTTACGATAGAAGTAGGAAGCTTTTCGTCAAGTGTTTTTCTCGGAGCGGCTTGGTGATCAGGTTTTAACTTATGATATGAACACCAACAACTCATAAAAGCTATTCCTTGGCCACAGGGTGTCATAAAATCACAACGTGCGAGCACAGCTGGCGTCTTTTTGCGTCAGATCCTCTCAGTGCCCTCGTTGCGGAAGATCTACGACCAGGGTGGCGTGGAAGGGCTCGCCATGCACCACTGGCGAGTGATGCACTGGGTTCAGGGGGTTGACCATGCAACCATTGCAGGTGTTTTATGTTCGACCTTTACTTGGAACGATCGAACCCACTGGCAAATGGTTTTTCAATGAGTTGGAACCACCAACCAGATTGACCAGCGCACCCGCGGATCTGTGTGAACAGCAAGCTTCTTGAGGTGAACAGGGGCACCAGCGGAATCCTGGACCAGGGGCACCAGCATTCACGCCTGGAGATAGCTGGAGGATGTTCCTTTGGCAACCTATGGATTTCAAGGCTCCTTTGCTTGGTGGTCCACCCGATCGATATGGCCCTTAGAAGGAAAGGTGACTGGTCATGAACTTGTCGACTGGTGGAGGATCAGAAGATTTAGCTGTTCAACCTGGTTTCTTCAACACATGCCCACAGGACATGTACGGCTTCGCATGGCTTCGCGCTGTAAAATGCCTGGTGCTGCCAGGCGAGTCCCAGCTCTTTCCAAGGGACTTCTTGAGCCTGAGCGAGTTCTGAAAATGGCTCAAGGCATCAAGGCTCGCAAACGATTAAACTGTGTTTGTTTGTTTTTTGCTGAATGCCGATTGACACTTGAACAAGTTTTCATTGGGGTGCGTTGATTTGTTGTCCTTTTTGGAGGTTTTTGGCCGCTAACATCAAGGAATGTTCATGTTCTCCTTCAGTTAATCTTCTGAGATCCCAACACACTGGAAGCAACCCCCAGTTTGCAGGGTAGAGAGATAGAAAAGATCACTGGTAGTTGCGGTGGCCCATGAACGGCCCTTAAAAAGGCTAGCCATGAATCCCTGAGCCTGAATCACCTTTAAGGCCAACCAATTGAAATTCCATATGTCAAATCATTCTGATCCGCTTCGAAGAGTTGGACGAGAAAGTTTTGTCGAACAACTTGCTGTGGCCATTTTAGCTACCCTCTGCTGCGTTTTTCTTGCGATGTCGAGTGGAAAGGAACCATATAAATCCACGAGTCTTGATATGTTCTTCCGTTTGGACTTTTGGTTGGACTACCTCTTTGACCTCGTCACCAGAGAGACTCACACCGCTGCCAAAACTCGCAGACTCCCACGAAGCAGCGGGAATCTTTGCTCCTTCGTGCAAGCCTTAGATCTCCAATTGATCGTTGCTTTGTTTGGATCAACATTTAGTTCAGATGCGTTGCGCCACCATTTTTCCATCAGGTGAGCAGGTTTCCTGATGGATATTAAACTTGGACATATGGACAGAGCATCGGACAGAGCCCTTGAAGCAAGCTTCTTCAGTCACGTACGTCACGTGGAAGCCATGTCATCCAGTCCCATCTTCCACACCAGCGAACTCCGGCGGCTCTTTCAGGTCGAGAACCTCGGATCAAGACCTTCCGGCGATATCAGGGCAAAAACTCCATCCGCCAAGCCGGGATCCGAGGGGAACAGGGGGACAGACGCGTCCGCCGCACGCGCGCGCCTCCACTCCCGGGATAATCTCCCGGGATCGTGGTAGCTGAAGCCACGTGCTTTTTTGTTTGGCCGTGACAGAATGGGTTGCTTTCAGGGTATGGTGCATGATGAGTTATGAAGTCATGAGTCATGAGTCATGAGTGTTTTTGGGTGATCTTCATGGATCAGAGTTGGGTACATTTGCGATTTTTTTCATGATGCCGAGTGTATAGATTTAAGAGGAGGGCCGGACACTGAGCCTTAAAAAGCACGCAGGTGTTGCGCCGAATCACGGACTGCATCCGGGTGTGGTCCGAAACCCAGAGGCTTGGGGGGTAGAAAGGCTGCAAAAGCTGATGCTGCAAAAGAACGGATGCAAATTAGAACAAAGTCAGTCCACTGCGTCCAAAAAAGCACTGCGGGGAAGCCTTGTAGTGTTTTCTGTATTCTTGGCAACTCGATCAGACCTTTGTGGTTGCTTTGGCCTGATCTGTTAAGCACATTCAAGCATCACATAGCATCACTTAACTTGCAAAACAACTCCCAGCCCCGAATCCTCAGCTCACCTCCACACCTTAGATACGGCGAGCCGACATGGCTTACAGCGCAGACAGCCAGACAGCCGAGGTGTTTTAAGAGTAGCGAGAGCCTGAAGTTCCGGAAGAGCACCTTTGCCTGCACCAGTGGTGTAAGAGGATGTAAGAGGATGCGAGGACCGAACGTGACGCGCCTTAGTGGGGCCCCGACTTTTGGAGGTCATATTCTACAAAAGTCACGTCTTTGTAGTTAATGTCGACATAGGATTAATCAACCCCCCCCTACAAGGTCAACAAGGTCTGGGTGCAGACCACATCCCCCTAATAAAGATGATGACCTGATGATGGATGATGAGGGGAAGAGGCTGGGCAGGAAGATCCCATATGAGTACACATTGGCTGCACAGATTGCTGCTGGGAAGGATGATAAGAGCAAGCAAAATGATCAGACATGATTGATGGATGACAGGATGAGCATGGGAAAAAGGTGGATCAGAATGCTATATCTCAAAGAGATGGCATGAGACAAGAGGGGATTGGAAGATCAGTTTCACCATGGACCAAAAGATATTGACTACTAAAAAAGTAAAAATATATAAATAGATATAAAACCAATTATATTTTTGTTTGGGGGAGCTGGGCTTGATTAATGGGTGGGTGGAAGTGATTATTAGGGGGAGGTTTGCAGAGATCAAATTAGTATATTATTGGAGGCTTCAGCTGGGCTTGATTAATAGTGGGGGTGGTTAATCCCATGTCAACATTATAATACACAAGTATGATAGCCTGCGCCAGGAGTTTGCAGTAGATGAGGTAGTCAAGGGAGGTGGCAGCATCCCAATGAATGAATCATGCCAAAAGGCGTGGTTCTATATATTGCAGCACACTGTGGATAAATACCCTTTGCAGCTGCAGATGATTCTCTACAGTCTAGCCAGCTGCTTTATGTACCAGGCCATTCTCATTGATACGTAGTCGACTTTGTTTAATTGTTGTTGTGCACTAGGTCCGGAAAGATTCACAAGGCTGCAGGGTTTGTTGTCCTTTCCAAGCCTTTATGACAAGACCACACAAAATGCAGACTTCGACGGAGAGGTGGATGAAGCTTTCAAGGTTGGTTTGCAGTGTTAATCTGCGCATCTCCGTGTCATGGGGAATCTCCAACATGTTTTCAAAGCCAAGGGGTATGAGGGGATTCTCGTTTTGGATGTCCTGACTCGCTCCGGAATTGGTACCCAAAAGAACACCGAACGACGCGGCACTGACCTTGGTGCCTAGATACCATCTACGAGGAGCTTCCAGAGGCGATTGGGGTGAGCAGAGCTGGTGAATTGTGGGAGGGCATTATTTCTCCAACAATGCTTGCAGGATGTTGCAGGTGCTTGTTTACATAGACAGTTCATGAGAGTTCTTATTTTTTTGTTTTTTGCTGCGATCATAACGTTTGCAGAAAAACACCCCGAATCTTCTCGAAGTGATGCTTCGAAGTGATGCGTGGCGAGATCGCGTCATTTTTCGATGCCAGATCGCAGTCTTTGGCCGTGTGAATGCCGGGAAGTCTGCGTGAGCCTCAGAGCGCATGGGCTACAGCAGAGCGGAGGCTGAATTTGGTCAACATTTAAAAACACATGAACAAACATTTGAACCATCATCTTTAACATCTTTAACTACATCTGTAACCATGGTTAACATTACCTCAATAATGGTACAGTGTTTCTTCCAGCTTCTTTAGTTTGTGACCTTTTGAGGGATTCCTGAGTCAAGCTTGGGAGGCTTAAGCCTCAAACTGGGAGCTTAGTCTGGGGAAAATTGAAGAACCATGTTCCTCAATGTTCCTCAATTTCTCTGAAGCAGCTTTGTCAGGTTCTTTTGAACAAGAAACATTTAAAACACACACGTTGTTGGTGCCACTTGTTAAGGGTGCATGCCAGAAGCGGAGACATTCACAGGGAGATTTGTTTCACATAAGGACGATTAGGGAAGTTGGACGGGTATCTTCAAAGCACCACCCTTTCGATTGCTTTAAGGGAACATCCACAGAAAACCCATGGCCCATGGCTTTCACCCTCGCTGAAGACCCTTCAGCGACGACGTCGCTCGGGGCCTCGCCTGAAACACAGGCGATGCTGCAGCACCTCTTCAGCGCCACAAGTCCTCGGAAGAATGGCGTGGTCCTTGGGAGCTCATGCTGCGATTCATGTGGAGAAGATCCAACATGTTGCGCATGTTGGAGCAGGTGGTCTAGTTCAAAACATCGCAAAACATGTGAACTTCAGAAAGTGTGAAGACGCTGAACAAACGCAGAGGAATCACAAATTTTTCTCAGGCGATTCGTGCGAAATCTGGATGCACCAAGCTGCTCTTCAGGTCATTTCTCCATAGCACAAAGACCAGGCAAGACCAAGGCCAAGCTGCCTCAGCGACCTCCGCTGTGGTTTTCGTCGATAAGAGAAAGAGATCCCCAGCAAAGACAGGCGAAGTCCATCTTGTTAAGTTTCCCTAAAATCTAGGAACCAAATGATTTGTGCGAGCGCTTCTTGAAGGAAGCTTCCCCCCCGCCCTCAGGCAGGGGAGCTTCCTTGAAGAAGTGCGAGCTATCCTGTGCCCAGATTGTTTGCTCCTTAATTAAATATGGAGGCTGGGCCATGGGTCATCATAGGAAGTGTCTTAAAAATGTTGGTGCCTTCCTCCATCCTTGCTAATGAAGAATCATAAACACCTTCACAGATCCACCTTCTCATTCCCGTGACAGATCTAACATCGCTCAGGGCATCCAGGTCTACTGCCTCAATCGCCGCTTTACAGTGGCCGACATGCCGGGCTACGGCCGGCCCGGGCCAACGGAAGATGCGATGGCCGTGCACCAGAAGTGGACGGGACAGTGGAAACACGTGATCCAGGACAGGACATCCAAGCTGCAGACTTGAAGCATGTCTTTGCACTCCGTCCCCAACACTCTTTTCAGAGTTCCAGAGTTTTGTTCGAGTGGACATTTGAGGGTATCAGCAGAAGGCCACCACCCTAGTCAGTGAGTCAGGTGCAGATGGGTTTCTGAAGTTTGTACCCTATTGGGTACTGTGGCTCAACAAAAGGACACACCCCAGGCCCATTGGTCAGTTCAGACCAAATCCTGCAGATGTTCCTCCGTTTTGCATGGTTTTTGCCAACGCATGGTCCAATGGTGGCCTTGCAGGACTATTTGAATACCACCTCTTGGTTAAGAGCTGCCATCTACGTGCACGATATCTCCAAAGAGGTGGCTCCGTTCCTCGTACGACGTGTCGGGTGATGGGATTCCTCCAGCCACTCAGAGAGAGAGAGAGAGAGCGCGAGCACCAAATAGCTTCTTGTTACGTCCGTAGCTATACTTGCTCCGTTCGTAGTACGGCCAGGAGCCCCCGTTCGTAGCGTTCGAACGCTCCTAGTAGCGATGCCAGGAGCCCCGTTCGTAGCCTCCTTGCTGCATGAATCCTGAATGAATTCAGCCAAGTGCACTGACTCGAGATCTTCACATCGAAAGATCTTCAAAGTGTCCAGTCTTCAAATGCTGGGGCATCATCTCAAGCTCTTTGAAAAAACAAGGGATCCCAAGGGATCCCAAGGGGTAGGCATGACCCGAACTCGCCGTCTTTTCAGACCTTTCTTTGCCTCTCGCTTTGGTCAGGTGCGGGAGGAGGACCGGGAGACGATACGGATGTTCAGGACTGGAAGACGGTACGGAGGAGGTCCGGGTGGAGCTGGAGGGCCGCTCCAGGCGACCAGATCTGGGGATCAGAATCACCCACCTCGGGTCGGGAAGTGATCCCGATGTGGATTGACCTGGATTGACCTCAGGTTGAGGTTCATTCGACCTGGTGACCAGCCATGACCAGCCGACATGACTCTGCTTTTGACATATTTACAGTACCAGATTCCTCAAATCATGGCCGGATCGAGGTTTCTCAGTGAGCGGATGATCAACTCGAGGTCATGACTTCTGATGGGTGTGGGTGTGTATTTAAAGGGAGAGCACCCAACCAATGGGTGTTTGAATTGCTTCTTGGCTGTAGGCCCAGTTCAACAGGGTCCGACCCGCTGGTCCCCGAACGGTCGGAACTCCCATCCTTTGAGCGTTTCGCTTGGTCAGGCACAAGCTCTCATCATCTCTCATCCTCGGTCTCAGGAAGCAAGGCATCCCTATGCTCTTGGTCTTCACCAAGGATGACAAGGCAAAACAGATCAAGAACATTCAAGAACTCAATAGCACACTGCAGAGCTATAGCTTCAAGTGTCTTCAAGGGATCAGCCGACTAAATTCCACCGCTGCAAGGGCTTTGAACCAGAAAGTTCGTCAAGAACTCAATAACCAGCCTTCGGGTGCAAAAAGAGATGTTTTTTTTCCCTTCGGTGAAATTCCAGGATCGGACGCAGCTTCTGAAATTGCGCCGCTCACTGGGCAGGTGGACTCTGAAACTCATCGCCACAACCGCGTGATGAAACTGAGGTCAAGGGCACATGCTTTTTGCGTCAGATTTATGGACTACGGACAGATAAGGTCAATTTGACATTAAACCCACATGCTTTTCCCAGGTACGTTGGTAAGGTAGAAGATGGTAGAAGTAACACCAACCTAACCAAGGGTTGTTGATGACATAATTGGTTTGATGTCAGACATGGCAAACCATGGACCATGAATACGATTCCGTGTGCACAGACTAAGTAACTTGGCGTTCAGCACGTGACTGGATAGCGGTTTCTGTGAAACGCAGCTGTGTGAGACATTCGAGACATTCGTGAGCCTGAACTGGCAAGTTCATCACCACCTCCAGTTGTAATTCTACAAGCTACACCGGGAACTTGTTGGATCTTGGAATGCACCAGCACGAGCTACACCGGCATTCCCGCATGGCGCATGGCTGTACGCCGGACAGGTTCGGAAGACCTCGGGTTCACCGGTCGTGCGCGGTGAACTGGTCGGCGAAACGATGCGGATCACCCCAGTACTGTAGCACCTATAAACCTTCTGAACACCTCAGTAGCATTGATTCTGCATTTCGACACCTCACAAGGTGACACCTTCCGCACGTGTGGGGTAGTTGAGCTCTGCGCGTGTGCGCGACCACGCACGTGTGGGTGCCTGCCATGGAGGGTATAGACATGGAGAGGCCTCAAGCTGCACCTGGGTCGATTCCAGGGGAGGCACCGCCTTTCCTGTGGGTGGTGATCATTGCAGCAGCTGCACTCTGGTGGCTCTTACCATGGATCGAACGCCACTTGGGCGTTCTGGGACTGAGGGGTGAGGGGAGACAGCTGCACGTAGTGATGAGAGGTGCCACAGGGTCTTCTGGATTTTCATCATTCAACCTCGTTGCCACTGGAGGTTCCAGACATGCTGCATGCTCTGGATCTCAAAGAGGTCCAAAATCACCTTAAGAGTGAAGACATGTGAAAACCAATCTCCTATTGAGACACATCTCTTTGGGCAGAGTGGCACACGGCTCCTATCAGGCTTGATTTGTTTAATCGAGACAGCCCAATTCCTGACTTGCATTTTGCTGACAAGCACAAGCAAATAGTCTATAGATACCCACAGCTGGACCTTTGGTTGTCGCGCTAGCCATCATTTTCTCGACTGATAAGAAATGATTGGGACATTGTCAAAAATAAAGTTGCTGAACGCAGCAATGCTAAGATCTTTGGAGCTACCAAGGGTCGTCTTGATGTGCTTTCATTTGTCATCCTACTTTGATCAAAGCCAGGACTCCTCACTGTGCAAATTCTACTGCATGTGAAAAGATAAGTTTGTGAATGTTTGTGAGTTTGTGTGTTTGTGGAACTTGGCACTTGTCCAACAAAATTCTGACCCTAGGACGGAGATGGCACAACACACATAGAGGTTATGCCTTTGGATCCTTTTTGATCCCTCAAAATAAGGTAAGTAATTTTGTGACTCAAAGCTGATGTCGTCCAGGGTGGCAAGAGGCCAGACGTGCTCCTCCGGTCGTCAGCAGTGCAGAGCGCGTGGCTGCGATGGAGAAAACCGTGCAAGCGCAAGAGTATGTGGATCTTTGTCTGCAAGGCATTGCTTTCCGAATGTCCGATGTTTCATTGACCCTCACATGTCTATGTCGTGGGAGGTTGCACATTTTGATGTTTTGATGTCAAGGAGACATTGTCACGACAGCAGTGCCTGGTTGGCTGTGGGAAGCTAAGGAGCCGGAGCTTGAACCAGGAGACACCTTTCTGAGGCGGAGCTGAGTTATGGACCTTGAGAGCCTTGAGAGCCAGTTGATATGACCCTCGTCGTGTTTTCTCTTGGACCCTGAATGACATCTTCCATCTTGGATAGTGGATAGGGTAAGACTAGTGGTAAGACTCTGGAACTCCTGAGGAACAAGTACAATTTCTACAAAATAAGGATGTGGTGGATGAACGGTAAATTGGGCAAACACGCTTCAAAGGACATTCCAGTGATGTTTGCTTTTTGTTTTTCCACAGACCCATCCGCCCAGACCCGCAGCGCTACCCTTCGACCCGGACGAGTTCTTCCGGGAGACCTATGCCGCGGGCTGCAGTTTGCTGGAGGAGATCTTGGCGGTGCCTCCGCAGGGGGAGCAGTTCACTGCAGCAGTGAAGGGCTTGCATGCGCCACTCAGATCGAGATTTTGCCACCCGCGGTCAACAGCTCACCTCAAAGCGGTAGATGTTCTGTAAGAAATTTGCGCAGATGCGCTGGATATTGGTTGGACAAGTGCTCGAATGCAGATTCATGGTAGGATTCACTTGCTGACTCGTCGTTTCCATGAGATTGAATGTTTACTACATGGAGATAGGAGGACGGGTAGGATGAAGGCACATTTTACAACCTTGACCTGCCAACCTGTGCTTGTCTGGACAAATCCCACACCCAACACAGTCTACGAACCCTGCCAACAGATGCTTTCAGCGCATGTAAGCCATGCGCATGGCTGGCTGCGCAGAAATTGGTTGGTTCCGGGACACCGCAGATCGATTAGCTGATAATGTATCCGTACCGCCCCTACCGCCTTTTTCGGGAACCGCACAACCGGACCACGGATGGAACGTCATGATTTTGCGAGGCTGGCGAATATCTTGGATCGACTCTTTCACTCTTGGGCTGAGGAGGCGGGAGCGGGCGGATGCCTGGGCCGAGCGGCGGGTGGGATTTGCATCTTGGTTACTGTACCTGAAGATGAGATGTCCTGGCTCAAGAAGCAAGTTGGAAGAGTAAAGTCCTTGGAACACATGCACTGGAATCCCATTCTATTTGAAGTTTGGGAGATTTGGGTACCACTTAGAAGTTGCGATGTAAGTCGGACATTCAACGCTTCTCTTCGGAGTGGTGGGTGCCTTGATCGCATGTTTCCATACTCGATCCAACCTTTCGGGTGGGCATCCATTTGTGTTGAATGGGAGGATCATTTTCATGCGTTTTCCTGCTCTATCTTCGACGCTGCACTCATTGGGGCGCCCCATTCATACCGGAATCCACCTATAAAGCCCCTTCCTATCGGAGGTCTCCAACAGTGGATCGTGGGTCTCCATGTTTCACGCCCCGAAATGAAGGTCCAACAGACTCCGCAGAGGCAACTTCTTCCCCCACTAGGCCGGCCTGCCTCGGACCTTTCGCCAACGCGACCGAGTTGCAGGCGGGCGACCGAGCGCGGTGCCAGTTGAAGGAGGAGAGCGAGGCCTTCGTCAGCAGCTTCACGGCACGCGGCGATGCACCGATAAGGCGGCTCTTGGTGGCCTGATTCAGATTCAACCAGGGAGGGAAGGGTAGGAAGAAGTTCCGCCCTAAGGTTGGCTTCACAGGGAGGCAAGGGAGGCTAGGAGGATACGGAGGGTGCTTTCGGTTTAGCCGCAGGTTTGCTTCGGATCCAGTTCTCTGTGAAAGAAGCATTGGTCTTGAGTGCCACTGAGTCTGTCATACGATCCACCAAGGCTCATGCTGGCTTTCGGAGGGAGGAGAGCTCTCGAGCTGTGTGGTGCTTTGATCGTGAGGATCCTGAAATCAGGTCAGGGCGCCGCAGTCTGGTCGCACCTCATTGGGTCTTACAAGTCCAGTCTGACCCAGGTCCAATCCCGGTCCTTGACCTCCTTGAGTAGTGTTTTTGTATGACCAACTCGGAACAGCTTCGGAACGGGGACAGCCTACTCGCGAACAGTTTGTTCTTCAAAGCACCATGGATCCTTCAAGGATTGACTTTGAGCGGCCTTGCACTGACAGGAACGAAGCACATTAAGCAAATACCAGCACGACCCAAAGGGTGTTTGTTGGATGTTATATTAAATGATATTAAATGCATCTTCAGGGGGGTCAATAAACCACCCTTTCGGTGGTGCTGGTCATTGGATTTCGTTTGGCTCACGGTTGCGAAGCTTCACCTCATTCCGCCTGTCGAATCTCGAACGCCGAAAAACGCGCTCAGAGGCTCAGAGGCCTCACCGTCAGATTGTGCCTGCTGCGCTTTTCGGAACTGCAGAGGCCAGGGTCGATGCGAATCAGGATCCATGATCCAGTGCAGGTGTTAGCCCAGAAGATTCGGACTTTACTAACTGTTCTTCCTGTCTTCCATCCCAGGCAGTCAGGTCTTCTTGGAGGCGGAGGTGAAGACTTACAAGATTTGGATCCATTTACCCATCGACCCATTCACCGACCTCCTCAGGCTGCGCGGCACGCACCGCTGGGCCCAGTCCAGCAACGCGGCGGTGGTGCCGAAGCCCACGGCCACCGTGCCGGAGCTGCTGGAGCTCTACCGGTCGCCGTCCGAGGCACCAGAGTTGGAGAAGCCATCGCTGAGGGAGAGGAACTTGGAAGCGGAGGTGAGAGGAAAGATCCAGGAGATGGGACAAGGGGAGGCTGAGGGAGGCTGAGGTTGAGGGGTTTGGGAATGCAGATTGCACCCTTTCGATCCCTTTGGATCCGGTGTTTTGAGTCATTGGATTCATGGAATTTGTATCATCGCGGATTCATTTGAACCCTATCATTGCGCGGTTGCCACTTTGGCAATTGGAATTCTAACTGATCATGCACCTATTCGACTGCTGGGATCTATAAAATGCATGTATTGAATCTAATACAGCCATTTCCCGCTTCCAGAGGATCCTCTCCAGCATGCCCCACCCCAAACCTGCCCCTATACCATCCTATGCCTATACCCCTCACCTTCAGACCCTCCTATGCCGTCTGTCCGACCGTCCAGGAACGGCGTAGTGAGGCGCTGGCGCCCGTCCCGCCGGTGCCGCTCGCGCTGCACGAGGGCTTGGCGCAGGCGGCACGGCGCTTGGCGCAGGCGCAAAGGGTCCAGGAGCGGAGCCAGGCGCGGCGGTTCGACGGGGTGGATGTTCGAAGGACCAGCGGTGCGAGGTTTTTTCTGTTGGTAGCCTATTACACGTGGGAGTGTATCTACGGTAAGAGGGCCGGTAAGGGCTTTTGGTCTTGAGGGGAATCGGTGTGGTATAGGATCGTAAGACGTCTCTTCCAGCGAGAGTGTTCCTTATAAGAGGTTCAGTGGTTGAAGAACATGTTACTTGTTTATATATAAGGTTTGTGGCAGTTTGTGGCTCTGATTTGTCTTAAGCAGTTCCTCGAACCAGGATGATGCTGTTGGATTTCTGAGAAACCGAGAGATTCTTGGAACCCGCACTCTGCATCCTTCGCATGTGGTCTTTCACGAGATGCGAAGTTGTGGGTCGAGACATAAAAAATAATAAATCGCGAGCTGTAAGCTTTTCCCGTGTTCTCAAACAAAGCCAAACACTTATAGCGAACACTCACAATTTGAGACGAAGCCCCCTCCAGACAGACCATCAGCTGAGGCTTCGCCGACGAGGCTCCGGGCCAGCGAGGTCGAGAAACTTTTGGCCCAGATGCCCCTGCCACCAGGCGCTGCGCTTGTCACGCGCCGTTTGCGTGCGCGTGTCCACGGCCAGATGCGGCTGGGGTCACGCGCAACGCGTGACCTGAGAAGGAGAGAGGTGAAGAGGTTTGGAGCACCTAAGCAAGAGGCCAAGGAATGGACTGGCTGCTTGGAAGAGGTTGTTTTTTTGTATATTGTCAACTAATTGTACATAATATAAGTGCCTCGATGTCCAGGCAGATTCCTGGTTTTGCTCCTAGTTACTAGGTGTCACAATTCCTTCCTCCAAACCTGGTTTCAACCACCCCAACGGCGAGATCCTCCGCCTCCATCCCATCACCCCTTCCCAGTCAACCCGGTCCACCGCTCTTGGACACCGAACAGACGAGACACTGCACCGAGAGGTTTCACTGCGGTGCACCTGTACTTCCGCAGCACCGAGCTGCCGAGCATCTTTGGTCTCACCAGCAGTACTGGCCGCAACAGCGGAAACGCAGCGGGTGAGGAGAGGTGATGGGAGGGAGAGGTCCGTCATGTCTTCAAATGAACCTGTCCCGTTGAACACGTCCCGTTTAAGGCCTAAACTTCGGGTTTTTGAGCATGACAGTTGCGTAAACATATCCCGTTGAACAAAGGAACAAACCCGCGTCTTTGACCATGAAAATTGCATAAACATTTGGACAAACCAAAGGAAAAGGGAAGCTTTCAGACCAAATGGGTTCAAGTCGATCACATTGGCTCATCTTACTCTGTTTATACCTTTGCACCTGTGTTCTGCGTGCAACCCTGACAGACATCTGCATGGGTCTCGCACACGTTGGGGCATTTCATGTTTGAATGGTGTTGGGTTGCTTTGCGAGGGTAATGACTTCTTCCAAAGCAAAGTCAGGGCGCAAAATTGTTGGGTTTTCAGCTCGCACAGTGCATGTCTCAAAGCACATGTCTACAGCATCAACATGCATCAACCACTCTCCTTGTGGGAAACCCCAGTCCTCTCACCCGTCGTCCAAGCAGAAAATCCATCCATCCAACCATCCATCCATCCAACCAACGAACTAACCAACCAATCAATCAGCCACCGCAGCCAGGACCGCGCGGCCGACATCTTAGCACGCGAGGCCGTGGGGCACTGGGCAGCCCGAGTGCCGACGCTCACCTGGCCGAGCGCCAGTCTCTGTGGCGTGGGCGCTGCGCTGGACTACACGGTACCATGGGACCCCGTGGGACGAAAAAGCGAGGGATAGGCTCGATTTCATGCAACGCATGTCTGGCAGCTCTTCCTATGACTTGAAGTAAGAACCCCAATAGCTCACGCTATCTGGGGAATTACACTGAAAAAACACATTCGGGAGGGATTTGGGAGGTTTGGGGTGGTGGACGAGATGAATCTAGCTCCTACTGTGGCCGTATGTGGAAATAAAGGACATGTCAAGACTGTCAAGAGCTGTTCAAGACCTAAGGTGGTGCGTTTTGACACAGCTGGGTGGAGTCAGTTTACTTCTGTCCTTCAACTCTTTTGGCTGTGCTTCATCTACATTTACTCCCATCAACGAGTCTGTTTCTTCGGCTGTAAGTCTTGCGAGGCAAGGAATATACCTTTGATCTGCCTGCAGGTGATGATCTCCTTGAAGTATTGTCCTGTCGTGGGGTTTTGCAGGTCACACTCCTCAGTGGCTGATCTCCAGTATTGTTTCAACCAGCCCACCCAGTATAAGCAGCCAAAAGAATCACCCACCGTGCCAAGCAATCCAAGAGCAGCCTTCGAGGTGAACCGTGGATTCGTGGTTGCGTTGCTGATTGGCCAGGGCCTTGGCGGCTCCTTGCGGAGATATATTGTTAACTATCGAAATCCATGGATACTCTAACCGAGCCAACTAGGATAAGATAACTAGGAAGGATAAGGAAGGTATATAGATAACTTGGACAAGATCACGCGAGGAAGATGCTTTCCAAGAAGGTCCATATTTGAGGTGGGCATACCCATAATGTTGACGGCTAGCAGATTCCTGACAAAGATCAGAGTTGGCCGATGCTACCAGATCCTGCCTCATTGTTATGTCATTTCGGGACATTATAGTCATAGTAAGTTGATAGGCAATCCTCACACAAAATAAATCTTTGCATGTCTTGTTTGAATGTAAACCAATTCCGACTTGATTCTCCTGCAGTCGCCATACCTTAGTCTGCAGGCTTTGAGGGTGCCTGCGTCGAAGAGGCGTGTGACCTTTGGAGCTTTGTTTCCCATTCAGGTCAGTGTAGCCCTATTGAGTCTATTAAATCTCCAAGCCAACTCCCATCAAAGTCATGTCAATGTTTTTTGTTGATCCGCTTCCATGGCAGCCACCTGAATCCTCCGTCCGGCCAAGCATCCCTGCTAGGCCTCCGCGCAGCGGAGCGCCATGCAAGACCTCCGAAGGCGGCAGACGGCCGCCGCCGAGGCGGCGGCGGCCAAGCCGGCCCAGCCAAGCTTTGGTGGGGATCACCGAGCATCGATGGGCAATCAAGGGGAATACATGGAAATAGCTCAGCTCTTTGAGGATTTTTAGATGATCGGACAAGAAAACTAATTATAGCGCATGCATGCGCATGCTATCTATAAATCCATAAAGCCGAGATAAGCCGAGTATTGTTGAGATTAGTCCCTAATGTACTCGTTCAATTGGATGTCTTAATATGTACAAACTGTATGAGTCGCAGACATGGGGGCACACCTTTTTCGAGCTGGCCACTTGAACAACCTCAGCTACTCTGAAGACTTGTCACGAAGTCAGCAGTTCAACGGAACCACCGAAGAGTCGCAGTCGCTGCGCCGGACTGGTCCGGCTCCGCCGAGGCGCTCGGGTGCGGACCTTCGGAGCACCTGCAGCAGATGCGGTGCTGAATCGCAAGTAGTGAGACCGGACGCCGAACACGCGTCTCGGTGCAGCGGACAGATGAGCACCCGGTGCAGTGAACAACGGACGCCACACGGCAGAAAAAGAGTATGGGGTCCGGTTGGAGGGTGAGTTGGAGCCAAAGACGTTTGCAAAAGTTGGAGCTGAAAAGACCGAAAGAAGCGCTTTGGAGACTTGCAATCATGAATTATCTCTCATTAACTTATTGCTATGACCTGTTCCATGGAGACATCATCTGAACCGTGTCACCCCAACTCCGCACGACTTGCAGGCGACAGCTCAATTGGCCAATGGATTGGCCACATGCTCACTACACCACTCGACGAGGCTGAAGAGCCTTCGGTGGGGCGCTGGAGCCTTCAGGTTTCAATGGGGGTCCAGCCCTGAAGCAATGTTTAAAACTCCTTGGAAAGAATCATGGAAGTGGACACCCCGCTGGTTGTTTGTGTGTTTTCTCTTTTCGTTTCTCTGGCAGCAAGTTCCCGACACACTCCCGATTCCCAGATTGGGGTCATTGACAAAACCTCGCCTTGTTCAGCGGGTGATCTTCAGCAACAGTCACAACCGGGCAGGGTTCAGATATTGTTGCAGCCCAGGGATTTGGCGATTTGCATGAGTTTGCATGTACTGCATGTTGAGTGGGGCGGCGAGAGAGCGCTTTAGAGATCGTTCTTTCTATTATTATGTCCCTTGAGAAGAGGTTCTTTTTGGATGGTTTTAACCAGCAAGCCCACCCCTCCTAACGCTAGTTGGTGCCAAGACAACAAGTGACCTCTTTCCCGCAGCAAAAAAGCAGCAACTGACTTGCTGGCAGGATTCCACCACGGGCTCGAGGGCCTATCATCCGACACCCCAAAGTCCGTAGGCAAAGGACACAAGTGGAGCGGAATCATGGAGATGTAAGTCTTTCTCAGACACTCCATGGACGGTGCGGTCTATATAATGCCTACATTGACCCTTGAAACCAGGATGGACAAAGGATTCCAATACCATCCAGGTGAGTGGATGTGACAGGGGCACCCCAACTCCTCTGTTCGACCGGCGCCCCCCCGAGCGAGCGAGCGACCTGTGACTCCTAGTACATGGAATCGACGGTCGTTCCACTCGTCAGGTGGCTATGGGCAGGTCTTTAAGAACATGGCCGGACTGCCCAGAGCCCATCGAATCCTAACAAGATGCAGTTGGCACCACTTCAAGAAATTTGGGGATGCTTCAGTTTCAGTATAGGATTTCACGCTTGAACGCCCTTCAAATCCACCTATAAACATGGTCAAATCACCTTTTACCTCCGAAACTCTGGGATTTCTTTGACCGACCATGCTGACATAATCTGACATAATATTAGTAATATATACACGCCGCTTTGTGATTGACACGACTGCGTTTCTGGGTGGCATCTCTCACGCTGCTTGCAGCGTCAAGCCGAACGAGTTCGGCACGCCCAACGACGCCCAGGTCGGCACGATGTTGCTTGGCCTGGTGGCTACTGAGCAGCGCGAAGATGCGATGCATGCCTTGGAGGTGCCAAGTTGCCTCGCTGTTTGGGGTGCCCAGTAGATGTGGGGGATTCCTGTTGTTTTAGAGCTGATCGAGATACTCCAAAACGCATGTTGGCGTCCTCAACAACCATTTGCAGCCATGATCGAAGCCACGATCTTGTTGCTGAAGAGGTATAATTGTTGCTGAAATGTCCAGAATAGATTCAGATGGAGGCTGCTTGGTTGCGAGTTCGTGTTGACGAGTTCGTCGCAAAGCTTTGCCGCAGAATGAGCTCCCGGACATCTTTTGGGACTACCGGGACAAGTGCGCCTGCCACACCAATGGTATCGCAGAGATGTGGACCGAAGAGTTGCAAGACTAGTAACATGTGTGCATCTTAGTAGCTTCTTGTTACCAGTAGTAATGACCTTGTTACTAGGAGCGATGCACTAGTAGCATGCTAGTCACATCTTTTCATGGATGCCTTCTCCCTCGCTAACCAGATCTCAGCCCGAGCCACAGCGAGCCGCAGCGAGGTACGTGCCGAAGCCTCGAAGCTTCTTCGGGCGGAAGGCGGCCATGAAGAAGTCCCGCAGCTACCCGGACGAGGCCTTTGTCAGCCCACCCAACGAGACGAATAAAAACGGTTCTTCAAAACAAGATGCCTGTTGTGGAGTGGGTGTTACAAGGCCAACAACACGTGCTTTCTCATCACCATGTCGTGAGGCTTTTGAGAGTTTTTTGGTTTGGGGGGGGGGCCTGTGGATTGTTTGTGTGTTTTTTTTATAGCTGCACTGCTTTTATTTTCTGGCTTTGTCCGCCTGCAAAGAGTGTGTGAAAGTGAATTGTGACTGAGCTTGGGCCATTGTTTGCTTGGAGGATGTGGTGTACACCGACGAAGAGCTTGAAGAAGAGGAGGCTGGGGACATGTTTCTTACGTTTGACATGGTGCCAACAACGAGTCATTCCCGAGATGAGAAAACAATGTGAATTGCATAAGGTTCCCAGCATTCCACCAGCTCCTTTGGATCTCTCTCTCTCTCTCTTTCTTTGGTAGAGGGAGGCTATAATGTTCATCAATCATGTTTATAGATCTTCTATATGATCTTCTCACAGAGGTTCTGGGGGCTTGGGCGGGCTTTAAAGGCACCACCTTCATGGGGCAGGTGGTCAAGGATCAGCTGCATTGCCAGAGATACTGTTCAAGATGGCTGGTTACAAAATCTCAGCTGCTGATCTCTTTGCTTAGAGATTGGAGTATTGCGTTTTAGACTGACTGAGACAGAACTGCCTGATCTCATGATGACTGCCTTTTCCGGTCTTTTCAGACTTTGGAAAGAAATCAAACGCAGTCTCACCGTGTTTCACCGTCACTCGTGCTTGGTGGTCATCAGTTTTGCCTGTCAGGAGATTGCTGAGAAGAGAGAGCTGCGTGCACTGCGAGCGGAGAAGAAGGCACCCGGAACTCAGAACCACCCAACCGATCGATCCAACCAGTTGCTTGTTCGAGCGCAGCACCATAAAACATGTTTCTTCTTCAATCGCATGGATAGACAATACTGGAATTGTTGGAACACTGAGAAGGGATGAAGAAACTCCTACACAACTGCTTGCACTATAGAACTATAGCTGCTAGGTGCAAAAAGGGGGTTGCACTGCAGGCACGAGGAGAGACCATCACCATGAAGGACAAAGTGGACGAGATGAAAGGTCCTGCTCTCACGCCGAAGGAGACCGACCAAGAAACTGGAGGGGAAACTGCTCATTGCTGGAAAACTGCTCACCAGAAGCTTTATTGAGCTATTCTCCAGGTTTTCTCGGTGTAGAATTCAGTCCATGTACTGGATCAACAGGCAAGACTCGCGAGGCTGGCTGGGCCCTATCCAGAAGGTGTGGCGCAGGAATCGCAGGAATCGTAGGTCCTCCTACAGCTGTGGCGTTCCGACGACCTGACATGGTGAAAAATTAAGAGTCCTTATAAGTGAGCCTTATGAGCTCGTGAGGCCATGATTCCAGAGTTCTTCCCTGAGGTAACACTCAATCCATACTTAGAATGAATCACTTAAATCAGGTCCTTGTATTAACATCCTCTCAACTTGCATGACTTTGGGATGTGCCTGCTGCAACTGCCTGCTGGACCACACGAACCACATTTTCACAATCCATACCAAGCAAGACACGGGAATCAAAATTCAGCAACATGTTTGAAGTCCCTTGGTATAAATCAATTCCTCAAACCGACCAAGGGTGAACTCGCATGCATTCACACGCATTAATCTTCTCATCCTGCTAATCATGTGTGCCGCGCCTGTGGCTTTCCCGCGTCTTCCACGAGAGACCCAAACAAAGAAGCCCTTCTTTTCGGACCCGGGGCCAATCAAGCGACAGAGCTGCTCCAGAATTGAAAGACCTCAAAAAACGATCAACCAAAACAAAGAGGTCCGCCTAGCCCGGCCTCCAAGCCGAGACCCTACAACGAGTCGGCACGACGAAGGTACAGGATTGGGGGTCCAACTGTGTTTTCCACCTCATGGAGAAGCTGCATCTGCGATCAGGGAGCCAAATTTGACCCTTATCCCGATGTTCTTTTCCAATTTGCGATAGCCGAACGAGCTAGTCTGTGGCCGCAGCATCAAACAAAGTAGGACAGTGAATTACTAATTGACCCTATCCCATCCGTGAAAATGGGAGCAATCCTAATCGAACTCTGGCACCCACACTAAGAGTCACCTCCAAAGACCCGTTTTCACCGTGTACAGAAGCGACGCTTCGATGTGTGACACCGACTCGACTCGCCTCAGCGACGCTTCGCTCGTGACGCTGCTGGACGTTTCTCATCCGCCCTCGGAAGGGACAAGACGTAGCTCCTCCTCGAAGTCGATGTCCGATTCCCTGCGCCACGCGTGTTTCCTCGATCTCCGAGGAGCGCCTCAAGCGATGGGAAGAGATGCTGGAAGATGCGAGGTGCGCAGGATGTCAACGGATTGGTGTTTGATTTATTTGTTACAGATTGGAGTCCATGGGATTTGTTTGTACCACGACCTCGAATGCATTTACCTCCATGGTACAAGTGGTCTTTCGATGTGCTTCACTCCTGGACCCCATCGATGACCCATCCACGTGTTGGAGCATGCGACAGCATGCGTGTTACAGCATTGCTGCAAGTTGCTTTCCTACCAGCTTCCAGCCAATACACGTGGCACAGGACACATTGACTTCAAGATGATGATGCACTCCATCATGATGGAGATTTATTCCTCCTCATGGGATGTTTTTTTGCAACCAACATGAAAACTGGCTGTAGTACAAGATGCACATCTTATAACCACTCAAGTAACCATCCACCAATGTCCTTTTAAGTCCAAGTTTTCATGGCTGGAAACCTACCATTTGGATCATTCGGGAACCGCACCTGACACCGTCGCCGCAGGTCGCGCTGAAGAGATGGTCGGCCGTGGAAGACATGGTCAGCCTCAGAAAATGGTTCCAAAACCGACGGAGTTGGATCAGTTGGGTCTCATATTGTGAGACTGGAGTCTTCTGATTTTACTTTGAAAGAGAGGATCTCTCCCTGCATATCCTTGCATCAAAAACTCTCTTGGCAGAATTCACGTCTTATTAAGATGCTTGGTGGACAGAATTTGGCAAAGTATAGTTACTTTGAAGGTGTTTGAATGCTGCGGAGACACAAGGCAGGTTTTGACGTACCTGCCCCAGTTCTTCATCAATACTAATTTCGACTTACATATATGGATTCATTAAGTTGGCTCGAAGGGAGTTAGTTGCGTGTCCGCATTGACTGTCATATTATCCTGCCCTTTCAACAGAAACACTCTGAATTCCTGGTTTTCCAGAGGTTTGTTTGCAAAAACAAGCAAACAGTACAAAAAGATACGCATATAATACTACACTGACCGTTGCACCTTGTTTGCAGTTGTAGTCATTTGTTTTACTGGTTTGCATCACCCTACTGTTCCAATGGCGCCTCGCCATGACCCGTTGGACGAAGCGCCGCGGAGGGGGGTGGACCGGTCCGCGCGGAGGGGGCAGCTCAGGGTCGGTGCCCCATTTGCTTGGAGGAGTTGAACGAAGCTCCTGTCCAGGCCTCTGAAGAAGAGCAACAGATCTGTCGGTGTTTTTGGCAGGAGAATCATGGAGAGTCTATGAAAAGCCATGGTATGCCATGGTTCTGGTTGCTTTCGCCTTGTTTTCCGAAATTTGATGTTCATTCACACTGGTGACGTTCAACCTTGCATCAATTGCTCCATGTTACTCCCCTAAGACCCAACAACGGCGACCACTCTTCTGGAGGACACGGCTGATGTTCAACAGCAGAACTTGTTGGATTTAGAAGACTTGGGTGATCTAGCCCTCTCAGTTTCATGGTATACCAACAGAACCAAAACAACTTAATTACCAGACTTGCAGACTGGCAGATCTTGCAGTAGAGAAATCACTACCTGCATGGTGGTGTTTGCATGTTTTTGCATATGTGTTTCTGAAAAAAATGCGTCTATTGCATTGACCAGGATTTTTGAGCGCGATAGATTTGGACCACAGAACCACCAAGTGTGCCTTTTCTTGGCTTGCCAAGAAAAGTTTGACTCGAGTGGCAACCTTCTTGATGATTTTTCCAAAGCGGAAGAAGGTTTTAGTTGTCCTTCTGCTGGTGAGGGTGCCTTCAATTCCTGCCTCATAGACACAGCACATGTCCTGAAAGCTTGCAGGCCTTGTCCTGCGAACACGCTCTTTGCTCCGAATGCCTCCTACGCTATGTGGAGAGCCTGGTGAACCACGGCCGCGTTGAGGTCCGGTGCCCTGTGCCTCAGTGCCAGGAGCCTGTGCCCAGCGAGCTGCTGCAGCAGCTACTGCAAGATGCAGGAGGAGGTGATGGGGAGACGCCTCAGATGTCTTTCAGATTGAGTAATGAATGGTTTTGTTCTTCTCAGGTTGAACAAGAAATCATTCATTACTCGACTCCGATTTTCAGATGGTTCTTTTTCTTCAGCGCCTTCCTCTGGCTTCCAAGTCCACCAGCGAAAGAAGGACCTGGAAGAAATCTCTTTAGGTTTGCTAGTCAATGTTTGGTATTGCATTTCTTCAAGATGTTCCTGTGAGAAACATGGTGAGTGTGTGTGTGTGTGTAATGTATGTCTGTAATGTGCGCATGTGTACATACACATGTATTATAATGCTATTTTCTTTTGTGCCTTTATGTTGATTTTGTTCAAGTCACAATCATACAAACATTCCCAGGAAACTCTTCTTGCGGCTCTTGGACTTCCAAGCCCTGCGCATTGAGCCCGGCGAAGGTGAACGGCTGCTGAACTGTCCCACACCAGGCCGTGCACAAAAACCATATGTTGTTTAAAAGTCCGTTGCTGGTTGGAGAGACCAGAACAGTGTGTACATCAGAGACTGTTTTTTTTGGAACGGACACATTCCCCGTTGATCAAGCGAGTCACCCTTATGGAAAGCAAGAAATCCAAGAAAGTCGGGTCGCGATGTGTCAGGATGGCCGCACGTAATGTGGTTGAAGGGGTGTCCTCAAAAGAGGTTCCAAATGTAGACTATAGAGAATCTTCCCTGTAGCAGGCTGCATGAAGATGTTGGTGCCAGTGGCTTTGGTTCAAGAGCGGGCTAATGTCACTTTGGCTCACAACAAAGTGCAAGATGAGACAACGAGAGACCTAGGCGGACTGAGACTAAGATGGATCCTGAAACTGAACCTTTAGAAGAGACGCTTCCTCTACGAGGGTTTCGGGGGTCCATGTGGTATCTCTTCGATGGTATCTCTTTGTTTGAAACGACCAGCATAGAGAAACGGAGATAAACCAGCATGAGCCATTTGGTAGGGTCTAGGCAACTGCACAACAGAGCAGGGACAAATCAGGAGCAAGCTAGACTTTGGCTCATATGGTCAAAGGGGGATCAACTCTGTCATGTATTGTCTCCAAAAAACAGAGACACCCGAAACGAATTGGGTTTTAGGCCTTCATTGGTTGTTCCAATCAAACAATCAGTGATTGGGATAGACTTGTTTGGTTGTGTGTGTTTTTGCGTTCTCCATGACCAAGGTGAACTGCCCTGAGTGCCGTCAGAGCTTTTGTGCTGCTTGCTGTCAAGCAGCTCACGGACTTGAGAGTTGTGAAGCTGCAGAGCTGCAACGGACCGGGGTCGTTAAATCCGACCGACCCTTCTTCGTGACCCGTTCGACTCTGAAGCCTTCCGAACGGGTCACTGAACCCTCAAAAGTCCATGAAATGAAGAAGCTGGAAGAAGCAGCAGGTGCAAATGTCTGATGCAATGGTTGAATCATGTGTGTTTAAGCATGTTTAACCTTTCTTTGCTTGGCCAGAAAGCATGGGTTGCTAGGTTTAACACGTATTTGTAGGTGCTTGGGTCAAAGAACTCGAAGAAATTCATACTGGATATCACACAGCCCTGCTCTCATCTTCCAGGTCACATCACATGATTTGTGGTTGCGGTGCTCATCACATGTGCTCATCGCATTCCCCCTTTGGTTGGTGAAACACCCAGCGATCTTGTAAGGGCGAGGCAATCTGGCGCATAGTCGGGGTCGGACAAAAAATAGAAACATATACCCTAGGGCTGCAACCACATCCTCAGGTTCGGTCCAACCCAACCTTCTCAGGAAGTGGTTGGAGCCCTAGGGATCAATCATATCAACAGAGGACCTGTGCTCGTGTAGAGGATGGATCCAGCCATGCGGAAGCTCATGATGCAACAGAACTGGAAGCGCTGCCCGAGCTGCCGACACCTCTGCGAGCGCGAGAGTGGATGTAATTTCATGACCTGCCCATCTGAGCAATGTCACTTGGTCAAACTGGAGAAAAAAAGCACCTGAAAATTGGGAGGACAGGCAGAGGGGGTCACTGAAGAAGATTTTCACCTAGGCCACATTGTTTTCAAGAGCCAGCAACCGATTCTAAATTAGATCTAAATAGTGTGATTGTGACCATGCTTCGTCTTTCTTTTGGGCTCTCGAAAGATCGAGGTTCCATCAGCCCATCTCTTCCAGAGAGGAAATGTTAAGAAGGTGCCTTCGATTGCCCTCCGGAACTGATCCTCACTGCAAACAACCCGGGTGCGGGATCCAAAAGAAACACCCTGAGCTTTCAACTATCTGTTTTACCCAATGACCTGGTTCACCGTCGGTCCACTGTTCAACGTCCGCACCTGAGGTCAAGGCGCGACCCACTTCTGCTACCTTTGCGAAGAGCCTCTCTTGGCCTCCGACCACGCCAGCCACTACGAGGGCTTCGACGGCGCGATCGGACTTCGAGGCCCTTTTGGCGCCGTGTGCCGCAACCGGCCCACGGTGGACGGGGAACGCGCGGCGTCGCTGCCCGGGAAGCCGGCTCCACCGCAGCTGTCGGTGGTGCCAGGGGAAGAGGAGGGCTCCATAGCGTTGCGGATCACCTGGGGTGAGCACAGGACAGGTGTTGCATCATGTTATTGGTTACCATGCGTGATAGTGCCGCATGTATACGTACCTGCAGTATCAAACCAAGAATGTGCGGCTGTTTAGAACTGATGATCAGATGTCCAATTCGCAGCTCAATACTATATGTCGTGCCATGACATGCCACTTGTAAGTGTTGCACTGTAGGAGCGAGCCTCCAACCATCTACTATCGCATCTGGCTGACTGTGCCAGGTAGTCAGGAGGCTGGGATTAGCATCGGACATCATCACTTGGATTTGGGTCTTCGAATGAGACGCCTCTTTCATTACATGTCATTGATACAAGGTGATAGAACAAGTTGGGATGGTCCATGAAAAAGGGGAAACCAATTACTGCATATTACTGCAATGAGCACAGTGATTAGCTATGACCAAGTCTAAATTAAGAGCAGACGATTGGTTATTGGTTAGGAAGAATTAAAGGTCCTCCGGTATTTTTTGTTGGGATGGTCATTCAGGAGTGCTCTTGGTATTGGTCTGTCGAGAGCAAATGACCTCACCCTATGAAAGAAACATGAACGGTGCTAGGAGGTTGCTGATCCGCATTTATTCCAAGGTCGACACATTGTTGATCACTGACAATCATCCAGCTCTTTGAGAATCACTGAACTTTGGGTCGTCGATTTTCCTGCCCAAAACTTATCATTTTTGCACGATTCAAAGGTGTTGACTTCTGAAGCTCCAAACCAGAAATGGAACGATGGTCAAATTATGTCAAATTCTTCCACCTCTTCCAGAAGAAACTTCCACCTGTTCAGGTGCGGCGCTTGAGTGCACAGGCCAGGCAGTGGGGATCTCAGATCTTCGATCTCCAGATCTTCAGAGATCCCCAGAGGTCCAGGGACTTACCCATTGAATGGGATAACCTACTATGTGTTGTGTTTCCACCGTGGAACATGGACTTCCCCACGTCTTCTTTACGTCCGGATCTCCGCAGCCTGGATCTGGGCGATCGCTCGGATCGTGGACTTGCGACGTGCGAAGTGCGCTGATGCGTCCGCGCGGTTGGTGCGGGTGGATCCAAAGAAAACGACTTTCCCTGCCAGGTTAGGGTTGTTAGATTTCATGACTTGTCACCGACAGATCGAATGCCATAGAAGCAGACAGAATGCCAGGGTCAAGATTGCTCGAAGTAAAGTTTGTCTTTTTCTGAGTGCATAAGTAGGTCGTTGAGTGAGTGGAACTGATGTGGTCGGAGCCTCAAGCTCCAGCTCAACCTGCATAGAATAAGTTTGACGCTCCGTCTTCTCAGGCCCTACTTCGATGCGCCCAAGTCCTTGCCGAAATACATTCGCTACCAGGCCACAGTCTCTTGGAAGGCAAGGGAATGGATGACGCCCACGTGGTGAGGGTCGATCGACCACATCACAGGAAGAAGTTGGAGGGACTCGGAAGGGCCGATTTGGCTTTTGTCAGACCCTCTTAACGCGCTAAGTGCACACATCCAGCCCGGAGCAAAGAGGTGGAGTTGATGATGTGTGTGTGTGTGAGGACTCTGATATGAATACTAAAGTGATCTAGAGTGGTTTCACCGCTTGAAAAAGACTGGCCCTGCTACCTGGGATTCACTTGGATGCACTGCAACAAGGCTTCAACATGCTTCAACTGTTTGATACCCTCAATTCACCCTAGAAAGAATGGCACCTCAACTGATCTGACAGGCTGAGTCTTCCGTGGACTCTTTCGGAAAGGATTCTGAGGGATTCAGGATTCTACAAGTCTAGGTGATTCGATTGATTGCTGAATGGAATTCTCGGAATCCTGTATGGAATTGTGTAATGTTACCCCAAATGCTTCATGTGTAGGTATGCATGACCTACATGTTCCACTCAAAACCACCTGAATGTCATAGTTTTTAACATACTGGACCAGGAGTCACCTTCGACGGGGTGCTGTGGCTCGTCGAAAATCCAGTGAGTGGATGTTCCGGGCACCCCTTTTTCTCCATGAAGCACCCCGTCTGGTGACTGCTGGTACATGTTACTTCTCATCTCTTTAAAGGAACCGAAGCCGCTGAACGTCGTGCCCAGGTCGTACCTGTGAACGTGAACGGCGCCGGCCCCTCGAGCGAGCCGAGCGAGGCGAGCGGGGGCGGGCGGGCGCATGGCGGCGCAAGGGACACACACACTGAATGGAGAGGGACGTTCGGACGTTCCTTTGGACTATATGAAGAGGTGAACTTGAAGTCTTCGCAGTGACGGTTTGTTGGTTTGCTATCCCTGACGACCCACTTGGCGGAGCTGTCTCAGTTTTCTCTTTCAGGGTCTTCCACTGTGGGCTTTGTATATCCAAGTTAAAAAAGCATTTTGTTTGGTTGATTTATACAGGGGTAACCATCAGGATTTCAGGCCAATTGACTTAAACAAACATGACCAAGCGGTCCACGTACAATCAATCCAATTTGTCATTCAAGTTTCAATCATGCATTCGGCTTTGTGAGGGTGATTTATAGCATCGGCCTTGCCACAAAAGCCAGGAGTTCTGCGAGGGGCTGTAGTTCTCCCAAGGATGAAACCATTCGATCTTGAAAGCCGTATTTGTTGCCCGCCGAAGGCATCCGTTGCCCGCCAGGTGGTGCACTTCCACCCCCGGGAGCTGCGTTCCACGCGGTATCCTGCAGTATCTGCCGTCCCCGCGAAGAGCAAGCGCTGGACGACCAGGTGACAGATGTCCATACGGACCCGATGTGTCGATGGATGGTGAATGGATGGATCATCTTGCAAGGGGCATGGCTGAAACACCTATGGGTGGAAGTGGGATTGGCTGAAGTGTTTCTTCTCAGCTGCAGAGTCCAGATTATAGCTGACGTGACTAGCTGCCGTTGGCACTTGTTGTGATCTTGGACACATCAAGGATGGACCAGATCGGGCATGTTGGGGGATCAATGAAGAGGAAGAGATGGCGGATCTCCGAGAACTCTGAGAACTTGGCGTGCTTGATCAAAGTCAGATCTCACATAAGCTTGCTCGAAAGAAACAGAGATCGACTTGAGCCATCCAACGGCCGCAGGGTTTATTGAGCCATCCAACGGCCGCAGGGTTTACATATTATGTTTACATCAATCTGACAGGACTGGCATCAGGTTTTGTTTCAATGACAAGTGTCCCCAGAAATACTGTAGACCTTTGTCACTAACAGTCCTTACTCTCAGGATAGCTAGGTGCTTTGTTCCCTGTCAGAGCTTTTGGTTGGAGGTCTGCAGTTGCCTTGGATGAGGAAGACGGTTCCATTTTTGTTCACTGGAAGCAAAGGGTTGTTTTAGACCCGGAGAGAATAGAAGATTGGAACCCTGGGGAGAGGCCCCACGCATTTCCAAAGGTCACAGCTCCGCAACACATGGACTTTCCTTGAGAACAGACATGAACAGACAAACATTAGTTCTATAGGAGTGAGTTCGATTTCAGCATCCGCTTCCAGGTGCGTTGAACTCTTGCAGTTGATTCGGATGGAAAAGGATCAACAACACCCAGGCCCATGCATCAGATATTTTTAAGATTGTGTTTGAAGGGCCTGGCACTGGCCAAACGCACTACAGTCCTGGCAGTCGGGGCTTTCTGTTCCCAGGAAGCTGGAAAGGTCAAGGTGAAGAGAGGCTTCGTTTCTGCCATCTTTGGGCTCAGTGGGGGGCACGGCACGTGTCTCGTGCGCCTCCGTGGAACCAGGCGCGCGGCACGGAGCGGCTCCGTGCCGGCGAGTCCGCGGCGCATGTGGTGACCAAAGTGCTTCCACCAAGCTATTGTGTGGGTTTGTCGGCTTTTCACAGTAAGTCTTCATTTTACGACTTAGAGAGCAACTTCCGAACTCGTTGGGATTTTTCCAACATATTCGATGACAGTCGACGTCGTACCGTCGACGAAGACATGTTTCGATCAAAAAGGTTTTGCTTTTCTTCTCTTGGATGGATTTAGGATGGATTTGGGTGCTTCACTTTCTCACTTTGTGCCCAAATTGGTTCCTGAATGATGAGATCTTTGATGATTTATGGGTGGCTGAGCTGTTTGGGCGATAAAAGAAATGCAATTCAAACCCGACGATGTCGGTCGCACCATCTCTGGACCGCGTGGTTGTTTTGGGCTGTATGCCAATCGAAATGTGCGGCACATGCTGCGCAGATTGTACTTCACATTTGTTAGTCACACAATTTGCGAGGCGAGGTTATACTTATATATATTAATCATATATTATGTGTTGTTTAGAAAAAGGAGCCTTTCAGTACAGCAGAGGCTTCTCTTCGTCAGTGAGGGTGCAAGTTGCGCTATTATGAGCCTTTGAGTGTTGTCTCTTCTGTTTGTCAGTGTTGTCTCAGAAGTTGTATCTGCATGTTCTGTTTGGAACCACCATGGATCGGCAAGCTACAAATCTATCGCGCCTCGACACCATGCCTCGAGCACTGCGCGCCTCGACGCTGCTAAAGCGTCCAGGCAAAAGAGAGCGAAGCTGCTCCCATGGGGCCAGTGAAGGTGGAGTCGGTTTTCAGAGTCCCGAAAGGGACTTGAGAGGGCGGAGGGCCACTGTGGGGATTTGGCACAGATCTTGTTTGCATTTCTTTTATCCAGGTTGCTGCAAACGAGCATTGGGAAGATGAAAACTGGTTGCAATCCACGCTGTGTGGCGGTTCGGAGGGAGAGTGGGTTGGTCTCAACATGGAGGACAATTAAAGATTCAAGGCCCAAGGCTGTCAACAAAGGGACAAGCATAATATGAGGTTTAGCCCGCCCCCCATTGCTCCTCCATTTGGATTCCACAACCTCTTTGAGGCCTGGGGGGTTGAGTTGAAATATCATACATTCAAACGTTGCCCACCTCGAGCCGAAACGCTTGCCATGGTTCAGTGACATTCTACGCCTTTCTTGGAACAAGAAACTGAAGGGTAGCATGTTTGTGGTTCAGAGCCTTACCATAGACATCCATAGACTCTCGATACATTCTATCCAGATCGCTCATTGCAGATAGAATCGTCCTTGTCCAGAAAAGCACTGTAGTTGTTCCCTCCGTTTTGCAACATGTTCACGTGCAACCACCTCATCGCATCGTCTTTGTCGCGACCTTTCGCTATTGATCCAGGTGACCCATGGCCTAATGCAAGGCGCTGTGATGCCACCCAAGTGACTGCTCTCAGACCTGTCAAGAAACTTCGTCGCGACTCGGGGGTCTTTCAGGGGGGTTCCCCCACAATGCCTCGTTTTCTGGTTGTTGTCCACCGAAGGTTGGGGGGGCAACAAGCAAAGATTCATGAATTGGCAATCGACATTTGACCGGAGTGGAATTTTAAGAGTTGGAACCGTTTCGGATCAAGACGCTGTTAAACTCTTAAACGGTGTGATCGGATTGTGTGAGTTCGAACATGACTCGCCTTTGTACCACCTGCTGAGAAACAACACATGTATAAATCATGTATTAACTGTGTTCACCTTTCTCAGACCAAAAACGCGAAGCCGTGCCAAGGCAGCCCCATGGTGAGAGAACATCGGCAAGCCGTCCATCTTCCGCCGGTTGCATGGTGTGAGGCCTCAGGCCATCGCCAGTTCCGCTGCAGCCCGCCGGCACGGCTCCGCCCAGGTCACTCTTCCGGGCCAGACGCTGCCAATCCATGGTGTCAAGACCTACGTCTCAACGTCCAAGGCCGTCCAGAGTCTTTGTATGTCGTACTTGAAGCATTTGGAGGCCGCGTTTCGGAAGGTCGTCATGCATGCATGAAGCCCAAAAAAAAAACTAAGGACCTGTGTCTCAAAAAACTCGTAAGGAGGTAACCCGGATCTCATGTGTTTCTTGTGATGAAAAAAGATGGAGAAGCACATTCATGCAATGGAAATACTAATTTTGTAGTACGAATCTCATAGATGTCCAACACATTCTCCCCCTATCACCCCTAGCCGTAGCCTATCTATCTTCCCACAGTCCAAATCAGTCCTCCAGCCTTTGGTCCGCCCTGCTGGTCAGGCGGAGCGTACTGGTGGCTATGCCCAGGTTCGGCGCCCCTCGCTGTTGGCTTACGCCGAGTACAAGGAGATGGGCGATGGGCGTGCCACAGTTCCCACGAAGTGTCTGGTACTGCAACCAGTGGTTCCAAAGACTCAAACCAATTCAAACCATGGAATCTAGAAACATTGGTCAACCTTATGCATCATATATGACATACGCATCGATACTTCAAGGGGAAGAACGTATTTTTCTTCTTACTGGGTCGTACAGATAATGCCTATGGATGAGCCTCATATGTGGATCTGCCTGGGATCCAAGCTTTGGAGCGGAAGAAATCGAGCCAAACATCCCATATCCTAAGCAGCGCAGCTCGTTGAACCGGTCTTCTCTGCCCGTCCGGACCAGCCTTGGAAGGACCGGGTTAGAAGAAGCAGCTGCTCGAATGTGGCGCCGGGACACTCAGAATGTGACGCCATGCCGGAAGTGGACATGCTCTCCTCACGTGCAGCATCCTGTAAACAAGACTATGGCCCAATGCACTCCGAATGTTGGGTGCAGGGAGTCTTCTAACTCCGTATACTGCATGGAACAGGATCAGCTTAATCCACATGGCGATAAATGTCCCTGGATTCTCCGGTGGGTTTGGAGCTCCTTCGAGCGACTTTGAAACAGTGAAACGATATGAACCGTCTCACGTGGACCGTTCGTGCGTGAGCAACGGTCCAAGCTTTCCATAAGGAAAACAGCGAAATCTCGATCAAAAGCACCCAAAGTCACATTCTTCCCACCCCAAAGCAACAGAAAATGCATGACTCCTGATACGCCCAGAATACATGGCGGAAGTGCATGTCTTCTTATGGCTTCTTAGTGGACCCTTGCAACCCCCGAGTGCCACTGGCACAACTCGCCGCTGAACTCAGGGATGTGATGGTGCCCAAGGCCGTCAACAGCATCCGCTCCCAGGTCGTGCGGTGACCGCCACGGTCACGGAAGGGGCGGTCCGCGGTTGGAAGAACGCGGACGGAACGGATGAGAAGGGTGAACAAGGGAACGCCCACGGTGAACGGGGTGCACCCCCCAGGCCGGCAGGTGAGGGATTGCTTGGGCAAAAAAGAACACGCCAGGCATTTGGAGCTTTGAATTGAATCTGGACCCTGATGCTCCTCATACAAGCTGCCCAAGTATAGTATCATGTGAAAAAAAGACGTGGCGGAGTTTTGATGTGCAACAAAGAACGTTAGGATACCTCGGTGGGTGCAAATACGTCGACTTGGGCGATATCATGCGATGTCTAGGAGCAGCCAACTAGGAGCAGCCAAGGGGATGTTTTGAGAGCAACCAGTCCTACACAGTGCCTGAAGTGCTCAGCTCAGCCAGCAGATCGGGCTGGCAAGCCAGGCTTTTGATTGGTCAAGTCTCAGGGTAGTTCGACTTTTGGCTTATGTTCCGTCGCCTCCTCGCTGAAGCCAAAACCTAAGGGCTTTTCAACAGCTCTAAGCTCCTGGAGCTACCATCATGTCATCTTTCATATCCAACGAGAACATCTGAAAGATAACATCATGGTAGTCATCATGGTTTTGTTATATCCTTGGCAAGCATGAAGATCTTTCCTATCGCAGCTTCAGGAGCTACATCCGCCTCCGAACGACCCGAGGGTCGCTCCTCCCGGCCAGGTCACCGATGCCCGGCGGACCGCCGAGGAGGGCGCCGACGCCAAGCTCGCCGACGCCGTGTCACGGGCGCGCGGCCGGCGGCCATCGGTGGTGGAGGTGCCCGAGGGCCGTCGGTCGATGCCGCGGAAGGCGGAAGCTCAGGAGGTTGGAGGTGTGGCTTTAGTCTTGAGATCTCTTGGGAGAGTGGGGTGGATTTTGCCAAGCTCCAAACTTCTTTGTCATGAGAAACTGTGATTCTGAAGGAGAGTCTGCGGAATTAGAGCCAAGCTTCTTCCCTATGGGATATACCTGGTTTGGTGAATTGGGAACTGAAATACCCTGTCAGATTGGTCGGCAGATCCGTTTTGCTGCAATCTCCAACTAAAGGCTTGACAATGGGGGGTTCACTAATCGACAGTCCACGTATCCCCAAACCAGGGTATAGGTTGACCTCCTTGATTGTCCATTCTCTTCATTTTTGGTGGTCAACCCAGGCCTGGTTTGAACCCACGGCCAAATCAAATAAGATGAATAAGTACGTAACTTGTGGCTCCACGCTTCACCTGTCCAGCATCCTGCAGGATGTCACATATGAGACTTCTTTCATACTTGTTCCTGATTCTTTCCGTTCAACTTTTACTTCTCATTCCGTGTTGGAGATCTGAAGAAGCATCGGAATTCTTGCAATTCACATGACTCCAATTCGATGTCTTTCATTCCACGCGGGTTCCCCAAACGACCTTCGACTGAAAAACGACACGTCACCCGAAGAAGGTCTCACGACTTCGACGCCCGGAATTCGACGCCCGGGCGGTGGGGGGGAATGACTCCAGGCGACCTTCCAAGGTGGTTTGGTCCAGGACTTGGAGGGTTGCGAGATGTTGCGAGTGTGATGAAGGAACATGAAGGAAGTGTCGCGATCGTGATTGGGTGAGGAGTGGATCAGACTGGATCAGAAAAGCATGACATCTGATAGATTTGGATCAGACAAAACCCAAATCTATCCAAATCTTGAATTGACCAGCTAGCAAGGATTCGCAGACCGGTCTGCGACCCATTTCCGCTGCAAATCCGTTAACACAAAGGAAACGGGAAATCGCATTGAACCTATAAGATCCATCCATCATACAGGTGGAAGCAGCGCGAAAAATAGCTTTTGTGCTCACCTTGTACATGTCGGACATCTGAGGCCGGACTCGAGTGAGTGGCAAATGGATGGTGTACAGTTCCATCATCAACAGTTTTTGCCTTGGCTACTCCAGTCATCTAGTGTTTGAAGTGCCAGGACTATCCAGGACTTCGGTTTCCCCACAGCACATATTTTTGAGTGCTGTGTGTGAGTTCGACGCAGTCTCGGACAAACCAATATGCGATTTTCAAGGCCGGGGAAGGATATTCTTCTCTGGACCAGAGCAGAGCATGGGTGTGTTGCATGAGGGCGTCCAATGGCATAATGTCAACATAGGATTAATGAACCTCCCTCATCAAGCCCTTTGATGAATCCGACGTAGACATGTCCGTGTTTTCCTGAAAAAAAATACATGTAACATGGATCTGTTGGTTACTTGAACCCCGGAAAAAACGATCAAGGCCCTGTGGCCGTGGCCTTCGGACGGAGCCGAGCCTGTCCGTCTGTCAGGGATGCCTGTCCGTCGATCCCTGATCTTTCACGGAGTTTCATGGGCGGATCTCCACTGACTTCTAGGTATATGATGTCCCTTTGTAAATTGGACGATCACTCGGATCATGGACGGAACCTCGCACAGAACCGGATTTTCTACCAAGAATTCGGATAGGTCAGGATTTGACTCGCGTGCAACAAGCCAACATGCTGCAAATAGATGACCCCCTTTCGGTGGGGCGAAACCCATCACCTGCCGAAGCTGGGCTCGTTGTTTCTCGGACGCCTCATGTGGTGTGGAAGTTTGATTCACTCGACTGGTAGGTGTGATGTGGTCTGGTTGTTCTGTTTGGTCTTATGTTTCTCGCCTAAAGCCCTATATATAAGCATCTATAAGTTCCTGATCATTTTCGTGGGAGGAACCGACACCCTTCGGACACCATGTTGGCATGGAGATCCACTCTGCCGGCGTTGGCCACCGGTCCGAAGATAGAGCGAACTGGGATCGACCGTCGCGGTGGCTCCCCGCGGTGAGGACACTCTCTCCTCTCACCGTTTGGACACTGGAGGTTCTCGTGTCTTCCATGGGCGAAATGGGATCGACTGTGGGGTCCTGGAAGATCGCGTTTTCCACCTCCAAATCTGTAAGTTGAGTGGAGAAGTTGCAGGTGAAGCCATGAGTTGAGATTTTAATCTTCAGATCATGATTAGCATGATGAAATACAATGAGTTGTTGTTTTAAAAAAATTATGTTGAAGATGTTTCTGTTAACAGATGCCTGACAACATATGGTCCTCCTGCCGGATAACATCTTTCGCATCCCACCGACCACTGGTGATGCCAAGAACGAAGCGTCGCCGCTGTGCCTCGCGACGCTTCTAATCAGAGTCCATTTTGCTTGAGTAGATGGAAATTATACATAGATTCAGATGGATTTGGATAGTTTGAGTCACTTCGAAAGATCTACTTCAGGCGAATGATGCGTGACCGGTGACACCATCCACAAGGATGGCATGTCGACTGCAAGACCGATGGCATGCCGGGCGTGCAAAAGGACGGCCCATTGAGCGGGATCCACGAAAGGGCAACAAGGTGAGACTGCCAGTGTGACTGTGGATTGTTTGAGAGGCATTGAAAGGCGTTTTGAGATCAAACGCAAGCCAAACAAAATCAAAACAACATCATAACTTTGAGTAGGCGAGTGATGTTATTGCCATATTGCTCTTTGACCAGCCACTTTTGATTCATGTTGATTCTATGGCTTCGAGGTGGATCTGGAATCAGATCAGAGACGAACATCCACTAAGACTAAGTTCTTGAAGTTCAGCTAGGCAGGATTTGGAGGAATTGACAACCTACAAAGAAGTAGTCGGGCACCTGAACTGCTGTCACTGGAGTACCCTTGAATCACAAAGGCACGTTAAGGACTCTTGTGGGAGATTGTCAGAGTGTCATCCGTTTTCATCCCTGGCTGGCTGTATGGCGTCGAACTTATGGCGGAGCCAGATCGCTTGGCCGGCATTCTTGGACTAGGCCCTTCAGCAGGAAGGGGAAGGAGGCGGCAGTGTTGGGGTGAAAAGCGCAGACATGCGGTGGATCTGCAGGTCAGACTGCTTTCAGGAGGCAAATTTGTTCCCACGGCCATTCGTCCGACCTCGAATCACCCAATTCTCAGGAAGGACATGGTTTGATTCCTTTTTTGATCCACAGTCCACAGTCATCACTCTTTGAAATGGTTTGAGAGAACAATATATTTTCGTGATGGCATTGGTTGTGGATCAAACCATTTTAATGAGAGATGGTGATTGGCCGGTTGTTGATCACCGCTGGGTGCATTTTCCTCCTTCCTCTATTCTTTGGGGCCAGGGCAGTTGCTGTGGCAACGCGCAGGAAACTCGTGGCACCGGCGCTCATGAATACCCAAGAGATCCAGGCTGTCGTCTTGGTAGCTGGTAGCCAGTGGTTCCAACGACTAAAACCGACCAATCCTGGCTCCTTCATGTTCCGCCAGGGATAGGCCACTGGGATAAGTCCTTTGACGAAATCCTACGTCATCCCCACTGGGATCCACTTCAGACCGGTCCGGACTCAACGGGCCCCGAACCGGCGGAACGCCAACCGTCCGGTCCCACCTACCGGTGCGGCCCGGGTGGCCGGTGGTTGGTGGAAACGACGTGTCCATGTTCCATGGTTCTCCCATGGTTCTCCCTAACCAGACTCTTTGTATCTCTTGTGTTTTTGTTGGGTTTTGGGGGAGATGCCAGAAGGAAGCATGAAGCATGTAGAGTCTTGTAGAGGTCCCTACAGACAGACACGCAATACCTGATTGAAAGGGAGTTACTTCTATCTATTTGAGCATCAACATTTACTGTATATCATGCAGCAGATAGATATATAATGTATATACATATTATTATATATATATTATATATATATACCCACGAAGTCCCAGGTGTATCCTTTGCACGTACCTAGACTCATGGACCTCTCACGGAACACCTGGACGACCATTTCTGGAATTGGACGACCGTTTGACGTAGACCTCGACCCGTTTTCACCGCAGGCGGGCTCGCCTCACCGAGTAGTACCAGTAGCGAGGCGTGCGAGGCGTGCGAGGCGAGGTTGTGGTGGGTTGGAACCGTTTCCATGAGCCTGGCAGTCCAAGACTCTTTGAAACAATCTCCTCTAAATAACCCGATGTTTGGAATGTCCTTTTACTTGAGTTGTGCCAAATATCGTCTTGGGACTTCTAGGGTGACGTGTGATTTTTTGGGGGGATGAGGTTCTATGAGGTGGTTCGGCTTGGGGTAGAGGGTTTTACACTCTGATCCAAGTATGGAAGGTCATGGTTGTTCTTGCCAATCCTACCCCAGGTGTTTACTGTTGTCTACCATGTCCACCCACTCGCCCATGGGAAGCAGTTTTGTTCTAAGTGAGTGAACCGAAATGTGTTGTTTGTCTTTAAAGCGGTGCATGCTTCTTACCCTACCCCTAATGGCACCTCTGGTGAAGTGGTGAGTCTTTTCATTTTGGTGAATTGGGGAGTGGCACTCGTTACGTGTGGAGCCTTCTGTGTGTTCCGTCTTCTTGACCTCTTGACCCATTCCAGCGATTTGGGGTGAATCTGATCACCAAGACGGAGTGAGGAGACCTAAGACCTATGTTTACCAACTGGCCCTGGAGGGATCGGGCACCATCGGGCACCATGTTCAGGCACCGCACTCTGTTCATCCCCGGGCGAGATGCCCTCCAAACAGGATCAAAAAAGGTACCGGCCTGTACACATGTTCCATCAGGCCGACGGGGACGATCAAGACTGCGAGGCTGGGGCGGCTGGCATTGGAGTGGTTTGGAATCTACATAAAGATATCCGAAACCGTTTGGTACTCTATGTTTTTTTTGTAAGATGCTTTTGGCGCACCGAAGGGGAACCAGCTGGATGACTGCAGCGTCGGCTCACTCGGGGCTCTGTCTGAAGGCCGCTGCACCAACGCACCGCTCGTTTCGCTGAGCTGGGACCATTCCGCTCCAAATCCCATGGCCATTTCCGTGCGTGTGGCCGAACCGTCTGATGCCCCAGCGATCGACAGGGTCTTGGGTGCTTGTTATCCGGTGCTCTTCCGTGGGGCCTATGATGAGGAAGCCTTGGAGGCGTTCTTGCCGCATCTCATCTACTCACAGCCGGAGCTGTAGCTTGTGCTGGACTTGGCGGGAGTGTTGTGAAGCTGGAAGACGACGGGCTTAAGGATTTAACCTTGGGGGTGTCCTTCAGGCAAAGGATATAGTGTGCCTATAGTATTAGTAGAGTTTCCAATGATCTGCTCGGCCGAGCCACTGACTCGGTTGGTTCAGGATGGAGCTGAGTTTTTCTTTGTGCCGACAAGCGGTGAACCCTGTGTTCAGTGGAACATGCAAAATTGTGAACGCTTTGGTCATGAGTCAAAGGTGTTCAGCCCACTTTCTTTGTAGAAAAGTGTGTAGCCTCCTTTGCATGGGTCTGCTGGGTTCCTCCGCGGTGTCCATCATCGTGATCAATCGGCTTCAATCGGCTTATCGATTGGAAAGCCTATAGGCTATAGGTTTATCGGACTGAGAAAAGGAAAAGATCCTCCAAAACCACCACTGTCATATCGAACCACACTGGGCTCTTTTTGGATATTTGCTTCCCTGGATATCCCGTGGTCACTGAGGCTGGAGTCCGGGAAGTTCTTCGTCGCCGAATCGGACGCGTGCATCCTCGCGTGTGGTGGCTGGTCGCTGCACCGCCCCGGTTCGCGCGAAGTGATTGCTGGCTTGGGCCACTTGCGCCATTTCGCGGTTCATCCGGACTGTATCGGGAAAGGCAGGACCGGAGCAGTTCACTGTAATAGAGGGTGTGTGTGTGTGTGTGCGAAAGATCACGAAAGGTAGCTTGAGCTACCTGAGTTCTCCTTGCTTTAGCAAAAATGTATTACAATCAGGAGTTGGGATTGTGCATTGAATTTGGTCCTGTAAGAGTTGATTCTGTTCGTCGGGGGGGGGGGGCCCCCCCCCCCCCTGGATCAAATCCCCCCTGCGCCGGTTCACGCCGTCGTGGACTTCTACCAGGGTTACTTGTGATTGCCTGCTACCTTTCGTTCACCCCCTCCTCTCTCAAGTGAGAGGTGTTGGGCCACACGCACAATATGTCTTGAATCCAGCAGTTGGGGGTCATCATCCACAAGATCTAATTAATTAGGAGTGACTTTGTGCCTTTGACAGCCACACACTCTCATACTATGCGTATTACGATGTATTACGGCATTACCAGTGCCATTACCCTGGACGTTTTTTGCATCTTACTGTGTCGTTTTTCTTCCCACCCTCTCCGCAGGCATTGGAAGAAGCATTTTCGAAGCATGTGAAAAACAGAGCAAGGAATTTGGTGTGGCGGAATTTGAATGCTGCTCTTCGCTGGTGGCTGAGGGCTTCTATGCCAGACTAGGCTTGCAGACAATTGAGACGAAGGAGGTCACCCTCAGAGAGGGCGCTCCTACTATCTTATGTAAAATCATGAAGACACGGGATACTTCACCTTAGCTGGTTGGCCAGATCCACTTCAGAGCTCAAAACAGAGCTTTTCAGTATATTTCAGGATAGCTAATGATCGGTTGTTGGTCGCTGGACTCACTTCTGATGTGAAGATTGTCTTTCCTACCTGCTGCATGTTTTTTGCTGTGCTGTACGACGGCAACAACCACAACCATCAAGAGGGGGTCATGAGAATGACCCCAAACCTTCCACAGCTACAACTTCCATTGCCAAGTGTTACCCGTCAGTTGGCTTTGATGGTGTACAGGTGTACAGGTCTGTCCGCGTGGAGGCAATCACTCATTGATGGTGATGTGACGTTAGCTCAGCGGCTCTAGCAGCCCGGGGAAAACCAGAAGCTGCGTTCGTGTTCGCGTTCTTACATCGCCATGTGATGTGTTTGTCCTTTGGATGCGACTTGACCTTCTTTGACTGGGAAGATTCACATGGACCCTGATGGCATGGACCTGAGAAGACGAAAACATCCTCTACAACCCACTAGTGGTTCTCAGGTTCCATGTGGACCTCTTCTAGGGCGTATATATTTAAGCTAAGCAACTCGTGAGACGCTACATTCGTAACGATGCGCTTGTTACATTCGTAGCTTCTTCTTCCTATAGTAGCGATATCCTCCAACCTACTAGCTTCTTTTACATCTTGTTACTACCAATATGGTTACCAGTATAGTAAGGCCAGGAGCTACCCAATAGCGTCCGAACGCTACGAGTTCCGAACGCGATGTCCTCAGTAGCAAAGCAACTCAGGAGACCGGGCGTGTAGCTTTTGGGCGGGTTGGGCAGGTCCTTTCTCCGTCCGAGGCAGAGGACGGTCGGAATCAGCCACGCGGCAACTGCATGACGCAAAGAGAGTGGTGTGTGCAAGAGGCATACTGTAAAAAATAGAATAGACGAGGATGTATCGTTTACTATGCAACTGCTTGGAAGACCAGTACTGCGTGATTCGGACCTGGTGCTTTGTTGCTCAGAGCCATTCTTTCGCCATGCCGAAAGAAACCGACGTCTCGTCTTCGCCGTCAACCAACGTCTCGACCGACGACACGTCGCGCCAGGAGAGTGTGGCCTCCTCCTTCCATGAGAGCGCGGCGCCTTTGGAGGCTGCCCTCGCAGAGGTGGCCGCTGATGGGATTCTGGAGGTCTTGGAGGTGGTCAACGAGGCCGTTGGGTAGTCGGTTTGGGAGTCGGACGGTGGGTCAGAGACGCCTTTGTGAGTGCGAACATGTGCTAACATGTCGCTAACGACGTGGAAGGGGAACGAAGAATCATGTTGTATTTGGGGGAGTAGTTGTTAACTATTGATCATTGGTGGGAGAAAAGATATGAAAAGATTATAAGACATCTCGCCAAGCGGTATGTTTCAGGGACTGAATGCTTTGCACTATATGCCCATTTCAGTTGGTGAGTTCGTCATGTTTGCCCGCCATGCCCGCCGCTACTCCGCACGTGACGCGTTTTGCAACGCAGTTGACGGGGCACTGTGGCATCCGTATGGTTACGTGGATGGCACCACCTGTTTGTAGTGGAAAAAAAATGGTCTTCCGAACTCGGGGCCAGACCATCCACGTAACCATGTTAGTTCCAAGGAGTGTATGTGTCCTTCTCTTTATGACTTCTTGGCTTTTGGGACTAGAGCTCCATGAGGAAGTTTCAGAAGTCAGGTTACGTTGTCAAACTGGTTGTTGAGATTTCTTTACAGGCAAAATCATGGATTTTCTGGGCACCTTGCAGTCGGAAACCTGTTTTGTACCGACCTTATGTTTACTGACGGGCTCCTTGTTGGAACTGAGAAATCTGTTGTGCATGTTACAAACCGGGCTACAAAAAGAAAGAGGGTGCGATCGACGTGTGAAGAGGTCAATCATTTACGACGTTTTACTGAAAAAATAAAAGCTATTCGGTTTTTGGGTTTTTGAGTCTGGCAAGGTTGATTGCCGGTCAAAGCTTTGGCCTGTAACACACCCTCACCGTATTGGTTGTCAGAGGGTCAGCACGTACTTCTGGGGGTTGAGGTGGTTTGGTACTCTCTAGTTGGTTGAACTGACTGTAACAGATGCAAGCAGATTCAATCACTCACGACATACTGTCAAGCATTGCTGGTTTTCTGGATTTGCGCTCTTTGTGTGTGTGTGTGTGCGCTGTTGTCCTCTATTGTTTTCGCGTGTATTTATATATGTATGATACATGATGTATTATAATATGGTCATAATATACAATTTGTGTATTCCGGCCACCGGCCCGGCCACCGGCCTGGTCACCTAGCTTTTCGAGTGATCATTAGGCCAACTCATTCCGTTGGGATTCAGTGTCCGGGACCAAGCGAGGCCGCACCACCCGCTGAGAGAGACTCCTTGGCGGATGTGCTGAATGTCACTGAGCCTTGGCGAGTGGCGAGAGTCCTTTGATGAGTCTTCATAGTCTCCTCTCATAGTCTCCTCACCCCAAAAGATCGTCAGGCTCCTCGCGATTCAATTTGGACAGAATGGATCATATTTAATCTCCTCCTTCGAACCCTTTCCAGAAGCTTCTTCACCGCCATAGACGGACATGACTGGAACCACGGACCTGACTGTGCCGCGACGCCGTCGGCACCCGTCCCCGGCTGCACGGGGCCGCCGAGGCCTTCATGGACGCGGCCTTGGCGCTCGATGCGGAGGAGTTTCAGCTCGACTCCCCCACCTCTCCACTCTCGCTGGATGCGAACTCACGGGTGTCGGGGCGCGTGGTCGTGGTGGGAGAAGGGAAAGCGGGGAAGACCAGTGAGGCTATGGATGAGAAGGTGGCTGAAAGGGAGAGCCTTTTGGTCCAGGAAGTTGTAAAGGATGAGGTGACCACAGAAATTCATGCGGATCCAGGTCAAACAGCTGAAGAAGCTCAAGGAGAGGAGCCAGCAGCTCCCTTGAAGGGAGCGTCTGGAGAAGTTCAAGATGATGTGCTTGGTGATCAAGTCGCAGAGAAACCTCCAGAAACTGACAAAGACAACGAAGTGTGCCACTTCCCCTCTGCTTCGCAACACGAGCCAGTTCCACCAGACCATCGAATCAAGAGTGGAAAACTGGGGGCCAAATGGAAGGCACCGCGTGAAGTTCCAGACTCACCTGGCACACAGAATCTGACGCACCTCGTCCACATCAGAGATCTCAGAGATCCAGAATTCAGGTCCCAGAGAAGGGTTGACCCGCCACTTTTCGAGAAACGCGATGTGCCGAGCTATGCGCCAAAGCCAGAGAGGAAGCTGGCAGGAAATCTGGAAACATCGCAGGAGATAACGCTTGAAACTTCAATCGTGGGCAAGCATTTCCTACCTCCACGTCTTTGCGATAGTTGGATGTTGTATGCAACTTGATCTGTGTAGGATTGTAAAAAGTAGTAATGAACACGTAAACAATAAACTACCAAAACGAATTAACTCATTCCATTCCATGAACATATCTATACATGTTTGATACTACACTTGCCACTCCAATGATGCATCCAAGTCCTCATCGCCAGGACCCTCCTCATCTTGACGGAGGACGTCCACTCGGAGCTCCGGAGGTTCCGAAGGTCTCGCAGGAGGTGCTGTGGTGGCGGACGCAAGCCTTGGAAGCCTGGGAGAATTGGAATGGTCTCCTGGATGGAAGAGATCGCAGAGTGTACCAACATCTATGGGGAGATGGCACCAACATCGAACTCTTTCTGGGCAATGTGTTCTAATAGATTCTCATCATCTTCCAAGTTGATGATCGACGTTTGTTTCGATTTCGGTGTTGCCAGTGGTACTACCTGTACTACCTGGATCTTCCAACAGATGCAGGGGTTCGGCCTTTTTTCATCCACCAATGCGGCCCAATTGGGCAGAACGTTTGGAAGATCCAGGTATGGATGGAGGTATCCAGAGGGATTGGTACGAAACCAGTTAGTACGTGTGAAGAGGGTGAATTATGTTTCAATGGATGGGAAATTCTTGTTATTTTTTCTGATTTTTTCGGAACATCTGACCCATAGATGTTTCCATGGATTTCACCCCCAACAAAGGTGGGTTGCCGGTCATGGTACTTGTATACATTGACATATCCCTACAAGTCAGTTGGACCTCATTTTACTGGGGACGGTCATACAAAACCAATACTTAAGGAGGTCAAAGATCAGGTTTTACAGGGCCAGACTGGACTTGTAGGTAGGGTATCTTGAACCCCGGTGACCGTTGCGCGAGGCCTTCGCCTCGGCCCTTTTCGCTCGCATCGAGGTTTAGTGGCCCCCCCACCTCCGCGACCCCGAGCGGTCCCACCGCGGCTCGGTGTCGGTGGGTGAAGGCCGAAAAGAGAGACCATAGCTACGTTCGTAGTGATGGCCTCCAACCTAGCTTCTTAGTTACGTACTTTCGTAGCTTCTGAAAAGAACCATCCAGCTTGCCCGGTGAACACATGCCGGGGGGGGGTGGAGACTTTGGAAGGGGGAGATTTGGCCACATGTGGACCGTGTGTTTGAAAACACCGTTGGAGTAGCGGCGTAGTGGCATGCGTCAAGCCACATTAAATGATTTGGAGATTGGACCACACAGTTTGAAGGATGGTTCTTGTTTCAGGTCAGACACCCACGGGTGAGAGCAGCTTGAAGCTGCTGCACTGAAAAATCCTTCATCAGGATCAAGAAGTTGTTCTTGTTGGATGGTTTGAGATCGCAGGGGGATAAGTCGAAGAGAAACAAATGGATAGGAGAAGAACAAGAACAAAATTATACAATATGTGTGATCCCCACATAGTGACAAGTCTAATTTTTCTGCAAAAAGTGATGGACATACATCGTGCCTGCCACACAACAGATTGGGCCCACCTTCCCTTGTGCGCTTCTTTGAGTTATTGGCTTCAGTGCTTTCAATTCCGGCTTCCACGCAGTCGGGGCAGATGGAGGAGGGGAGCAAACAGAGTTTGGTGATCAAGAGTATCATCGCTTATGAAGTCTTTGGTGCCCTTCAAGTCTTCTACCGCTTGTGGTCCGGCTGGCGGAAGTCAACTCGAATGAGGGCGATCCTGGACGAGGTTCCAATGCCCAAAGGTCTCCGAAGTCACTCCCCAGGAGGATGGGTGGCTGAGATGATTGCAAACCTCTATCGATTGCACGATTGGCGGCATGACATTTGTGTGGGACAGCCTATCTCAAAGCTTGTGGGGTTTCCTTGGGCCCCCGCGCCCTATTTTCTTCTGGCCAATGATCCGGCAATCGTGCGGCATATCCTCAAAGACGAGTTCAACAAATACACCAAACCAGACAGCACTTTGGATGGCATCTTCTACTACTTCGAGGAATTCCTGGGCAGCGGAATTTTTGTGGTGAAACATGGAATCGCTTCGCCGGATGCT